ACCCAGACAACTTCATTGACCTGGAGTAGTCTGTGTGCCAGGTCCCCCTAGTTTTAACAGATTTCGGTGTAAACATAGTTTCAAAGAAACTGCTGTGTTTCACTGAGGGTTAATCCAGCCTCTAGTGGCTGTCTCACCGACATTCGCAAGAGGAGCTTCAGCAATTCTTACTGAGTGAGAAGATGCTGGACGTTCATAGGAAAGCATGGAGTAATTCTTTCCTATAGGCTGTTTTTCGAATGCGCAACGCTATAGACACGCATGTGCATTGGTAGCGGACGTTGGCAGGAGGAAGAGAGGTCACCATCACCGGGGGAGCACAACACTGGACAAAGGCTAGTGGCTGATGATGTTTTAACCCCTTCAGCCCAGCAGGATTGGTGCCCAAGAGGTTGGGGGGTGACCTAACGACTATATAGTGCCAGCAAAACGAGTTTTTTTTTCTGTCACTATGGTGCTCCTTTAGAGATTAATTTTGCTTCATTTTTTTCAAAATACCTGACAGTTTTAAAGAACAATGCGCTGTATTTAGATTTATGATAGACTCACCTTTCCTGCATTTGTTCCGGAGAACGGAATCTAGCGTATTTTACATAGCTGAGACCATAACGGTATAGAGACAGCACGTGTTCCCGTGAAGATAATTGCTCACGTAGATATGGAAGATTGCAAATGCAATTGTGTTGTTCATTCAACATATCGACAATGTTCTCTATCTCCCGGCAGCATAGACTTTCTTCCTCACTTTGCATTGGCATACAATTGCCACACAGACACCATTCCGATGTTCCAACTCTTGTTGGTGAACCTTGGGTATTTTCGTCGTTAATCACTTGAGGTGCAGGTGGATCCCAGTCCATACTATTTAAAATATCAGGATCAACTGCATGTCGATGACGGTCCTCAAAATATTCTGACAGCTATAAATATATGTAGTAGTTTTTTTTTAATATGTATTAGATCTTCATAAACACAATAAAATTTCTATGAATCCTATTCTGTATTGAATAAATTATGACAGTTAGAGGACCACAATAGTGTTTTGAAAAAAAAAAAATGTTTTCATGTCAATATAGGGCCATTAGGTCCACCCCACCCTCAGGGTCCCACTCCTGCAGGGCACTCGGGGTTAAAACCCCTTCAGCCACTTTTCTTTCTCCAGCACCGCGCTCCCTCGGCGATGGTGAACACTCCTCCTACTGACATCATTGCCGAATGCGCCTGCGTGGCAACTGCAGTGCACGCATTCAAACCGCCCATAGGAAAACATTACTCAATGCCAGTGATAAGATGCTGCATGTCAATACGTAAGCATTGAGTAATGCTTTACCATGTGCGTTTAGAATGGTTGTGTTGCAATTGCGGCGCAGGCGCATTCGTCAATGATGTCAGCAGAAGGAGTGTTCACCGTAGCCGAGGGAGCACGGTGCTGGAGAAAGGTAAGTGGCTGAAGGGGTTTTAACCCCGAGTGCCCTGCAGGAGTGGGACCCAGAGGGTGGGGTGGACCTAATGACCCTATAGCGTTTTTTTGTTCTAGGCTAGGAAACAGTTATGTTTACAGTTGCAGTGCTGACACTAGAGCAACCTGGCACCAAGACCACTACATTGAGCTGAAGTGGTCTGGGTGACTATAGTGGTCCTTTAAAATTAATCGACCATGAAAACATCCATCAGGCAACCTAATGTAACTGAATTGAGATTAATGCAGTGGTCCATTCCTTTTTATCCATCAATGCAAAATTTGTCTCCAAGGCCAATGATTATCTCATTGCTTAGAAAATCGGCTAGACTTATGAGACCTTTTTTTTTTTTTTTAGGTAATTGATATTACTAAAATAGAGTGAACGTGAAAAATGTAAGTCACTTATGTAAACTTACCATACGTTGGATGTCCGCATCATTTAGACCTGTTGAATCTGAACTATTTCCACTTGCCATTTTTTTAACTTAACTTTTAAAAAAGAAGAAATCAATGAAAATAAGCAGAAGAAGAAACATTTATAGTACATTATATTAATTTTATTTTTTTTGGTTTTATTACGACAGACATTGTGTGTTGCTGGCATCATGTGAGTGGACGGGATGATCAATAAAGAGTCCAGTCCTCACACTTTTGAAGAGGCAGGTAAAACAATTTTTAAAAATTAATTAAAGGACCACTATAGTGCCTGGGAAACTCTCGTTTTCCTGGCACTATAGTGCCTTGAGGGTGCCCCCACCCTCAAGGTCCCCCTCCCGCCGGGCTGGATTGCGAGGAAAGGGGTTAAACTTATCTATTTTCCAGCACCGGGTGGGGAGCTCTCCTCCTCCTCTCCGCCTCTGATCATCCTCTTTGTCTGAATGCGCATGCGCGGCAAGAGCTGCACGCGCATTCAGCCTGTCTCATAGGAAAGCATTTCCAATGCTTTCATATGGACGCTTGCGTCTTCTCACTGTGATTTTCACAGTGAGAAGCACGCAAGCGCCTCTAGCGGCTGTCAATGAGACAGCCACTAGAGGATTTGGAGGCTGGATTTACCCATTTATAAACATAGCAGTTTCTCTATATAATCTTTGGTGGAACATCTCCGTCAGGGTCCACCTCCCGCAGGGCCGTCTTTAATATTGATTGGACGCTGGGCAAGCATCTGTTTGGGCCCCTTGGGCATGCAATCACTCCCTCCACCCCAACCTAGAGGTGAAACTAATGTAGTGAGTGCCTTGGTGCAACAAAAAAAAAATTCAGGCCTGCCCTGTAGTAAAGAAAAGATAGATCCCCATCTGTCATACAACTCCTGCGATGCTATGCCAGCTGGGGATCTACCATCCTTGCGGGGTTGTATTTTTGAGCAGTGTTTGTGCAAATGAATGTCAGCATGTTATTGTATAGCGTGTATTTGTGCATGTAGGAGTGTATTTGTATGTACTGTTACCATTGGAATGCAGTGGTGTACTTGTGTGTAGTGTTTGCATTTTAATGCAGGGATGTGTGATTGTTTGTAGTGTTGGCTTTTAAATGCAGGTAGACTTTTGTGTGTAGAGTTGGTGTTTGTATATAATTTTAGCGTTTTAATACAGGAATGTGTTTGCATGTAATGTTTGTATTTGCATGCAGGGGGGTGTTTGGATGTAGTGTTGTCTTTTAAATACATGTGTACATTTGTGTGTAGTATTAGTGTTTCAGCAAACTGGTGTGTTTGTAATGTTTGTGTTTGCAGGGGTCTGTTTGCATGTTGTGTGATTTCTATAACACATATACACATACACATTAACACGCAGATACACACATGCTCACTAGTGATGTACCGAACGGTTCGCTGGCGAACGGTTCCCGGCGAACATAGCATGTTCGCCACGGCGGGCGAACATATGCGCGGTTCGACCCGCCCCCTATTCGTCATCATTGAGTAAACTTTGACCCTGTACCTCACAGTCAGCAGACACATTCCAGCCAATTAGCAGCACAGCCTCCCTAGCAGACCCTCCCACCTACTGGACAGCATCCATTTTAGATTCATTCTCAAGCTGCATGCTTAGTAAGAGGAGGGAAAGTGTAGCTGCTGTTCATAAGATAGGGAAAAGCATAGCTAGGTTAGGGATAAGGGTATGCTTTTTTATTTATTTATTTTTTCTATGTAATGTAAATGCACTTAGTTGTCTGCCACTGCTGCCAGCTTCTGTGTCAGGCTCACAGTGCATACTGCGCCCATTTCCCCAGTCAATGCCACCACTTAGAACTGGTGACACAAAGCTTGGATTTAAAAAAACAAAACACTTTTTTCACTGTTATATATTGAATAGCAGTCAGTGTCCTTAAAGCGGGTGTGTTACGCTAACAGTGGATACGGTGACCAGTGCCACCACTTATATCTGGTGTCACAATAGCTTGATTTAAAAACAAAAAACTTTTTTCACTGTTATAGATTGAATAGCAGTCAGTTGTCTGCCACTGCTGCCAGCTTCTGTGTCAGGCTCACAGTGCATACTGTGCCTATTTCCCCAGTCAGTGCCACCAATTACATCTGGTGTCACAATAGCTTGGATTTAAAAACAAAAAACTTTTTTTACTGTTATAGATTGAATAGCAGTCAGTGTCCTTAAAGCGGGTGTGTTACGCTAACAGTGGATACGGTGACCAGTGCCACCACTAGATCTGGTGACACAAAGCTTGTATTTAAAAACAAAAAACACTTTTTTCACTGTTATAGATTGAATAGCAGTCAGTGTCCTTAAAGCGGGTGTGTTACGCTAACAGTGGATATGGCGACCAGTGCCACCACTTAGATCTGGTGTCCCAACAGCTTGGATTTAAAAAACAAACACTTTTTTCACTGTTATAGATTGAATAGCAGTCAGTGTCCTTAAAGCGGGTGTGTTACGCTAACAGTGGATACGGTGACCAGTGCCACCTATTAGATCTGGTGACACAAAGCTTGGATTTAAAAAAACAAAACACTTTTTTCACTGTTATAGATTGAATAGCAGTCAGTGTCCTTAAAGCGGTGTGTTACGCTAACAGTGGATACGGTGACCAGTGCCACCAATTAGATCTGGTGACACAAAGCTTGGATTTAAAAAAACAAAACACTTTTTTCACTGTTATAGATTGAATAGCAGTCAGTTATCTTAAAGCGGGTGTGTTACGCTAACAGTGGATACGGTGACCAGTGCCACCAATTAGATCTGGTGTCACAATAGCTTGATTTAAAAACCCCACTTTTTTCACTGTTATAGATTGAATAGCAGTCAGTGTCCTTAAAGCGGGTGTGTTACGCTAACAGTGGATACGGTGACCAGTGCCACCAATTAGATCTGGTGTCACAATTGAAAGGGTTAATGTTGTAATGGACTCTAATCCCCTCGGTTCTCGATCCCTCGGTCACCATAATCAACGTTGATGGAGAATCATTTGTAAGCAATAACACACGGACAACAGCTTTACAAGACTCTCAAATGAGTGTATTCCAGAGCTGGCTTTTATACATAGTTTGCTTACATTAGCCATGGTATATGCAAATACAGTACAGACTATAAGATTTATTACTTCCTTGTATTACGTTATTCTGACAATGGAAAGATAAGCTTTTGCATACGTCTGGAAAAGAATATCCTGAAATCGGAATGGGCAAGACATCCTGAAATTTTAGCATTGTCTTACATCCTATAGAAGAAATACCTTAGTCTGTCACAGTCAGCATATTGACTTTAAGTATTCAATATCCCTTCAGTCAGCAATAATCATGTTATAAACCTTATAAAAGCATAAAATACATATAAACAAGTTAACTATTTAATATTCTTACATTCCCCTCTTTGAGCAATAAAACAATTGCTCATCTTATCGATAAAATCTTACCAGGACAGAGAAACTTCCACATGGTATTTTCAGGGGTGCTAGTCACTCCCTGCGGGACTTTCATTAATTTCTTCACCTCGATTCCCATGTGGTAATTCCTAAGGCCTAGTTTAAAAATGGGTTGATACTCTACAGTGGCAGAGAGGAGAATTTCTAATTGTTTCTGTTCTGCATTATGGATTAATTTCTGTACTCTCTTCCTCAATGTACAAGTAAAGTGACAGTTATATAAAATCATACACAATAAAATCAGGACTATAATAACAAAATGATAGAAGAATGATTTCATTATCTGGAATCCAGTAGGGGACCAACCAGTGAAGCATCGTACCAATGATGGGCTAAATCATTCTGAATTTGTGAACTCACCTTAAGGAGTTCTCCTTTTAGGATATGTGTGGCTACCTGTGTATGTTATCTTTGGGAAAAATATAGTCCCCTGTGTATGTGGGTGCCCACCAGGTTAAATTCTTGGCAAAAAGATCATAAACTGGTACTGGTAATGTGTTAAATTGACAAGCTAATTTAACATCCTTTGATGTTGTATGATATAATGTAAAATAGCATGAGCATGAAAAATGTGAAACATTACCAGTTAACCATCCATTGCATTTACTGGATTGGGGTTTTAGAAGTAACCATTCATTATCTGTGAGGTTACACATTCCTCTAATCTTCTCTAGTTTAGAAATCGTTAGTGTGTCTTCTAATGCCAATCCTTGTTGTTGTATCCATAAATACCTGATGGCACAAGTACTCCAGTTACTTAGACCTGTAGTGAATTTCATAGTTGCAACAGTTAAATTATCTAAATAATTATACATTGATTTATCTAAATCCAATCCT